TTCGGTGTTTTATTTTTCTTCGTTATTTATTAACATTTCAAATTGTTTTTGTGCATTTCCGTTATATAGCGGATATGAACATAACAAATGGAAAAATGCCACTAGACTAAACCAAGCGATATATTTATATGATTTCATAAATGAAATTTTGAGTATTTTAAATTGAGTACCACTTCAAAAAACTAGACCAACCAATAATTTGTAATATATTTGATTTTGTAATGAAAACGGCGTTTTATTGATTTTAAAATATATAAATTGCATATTTCCCCAATTAACCGTTTATTAGTTCAAAAAACAAGCCAACGCAGTAGCGTTAAATTTTCAAATTACAGTAAATCTCAAACAATGTCGGTTTAGGAGGCACGAGCATTATTAAATATCAGAGCAAACAATGTAGGTTGTGCCGCAGGGAAGAGAAAACCACGAGATATGTTTTGTGCTATTGTAGTTCCAGCTAGATTGTGGTTTAACTCGATTTCGAGAAACTAATAGCAACAAGCCAGTGTCCTCGAAGTTTTGTTCCCTTGTGACCAGACATTGGCCTTTAGTGTTTAACACGAATGGTAAAAGGAGATTTGATTCGAGAAATTATTGATCTGTGCTAAAAGAGTGATCAATATAATTAAGATTTGTATTATTAAATAAACTCATCGAAGACTTCTTAGTTGTCGGGCTGGACCGCCCTGGAATTAAACACGCGACTTCGACACTTTTTATATAAAAGAAACATTTATTTATAAGTAACAAAAAATACATATTCTGTAAAAATATAACAAAAAGTGAAGTGCTTACGGAAGCGCTTAATTTTCGTCAGTGGTCTTCGCTTTTTTTCGTCACACTTTGCTCATTTTTATCTGCAGATGGTATAAAAAAAACTGTCCAACGTGGTTTATTTCTTCCTCTCTTTCAGAATATTGCGGAAATGTGTTATGCAAGTTTCGTTAAACAACACCGATGCACGACCAGTTATAACTTTTTCGGGGTGATTTTTATCCACGAACTCTGCAACTTTCTCCCACATTCCCAGAATCTCCTTTATATCTCTTGTAGAGACAACGTCTTAGAATTCTGGCTCCTCTTAAAAATTTATTTTTCGTTGAACCACCGTATGCTGCTGTGAATGTAGGTCATCTAACTCCTCGGTTGTCAGCTCCTGAAACTGTTCCTCGATAGTTTCGTTCACATCTCTTTCAACCACCCTCAGACCCATGGATTTATACCACTGACACTTCGGGTTCCAGTGCTTCGCAGGTCCTTTCATCTATAGCTACAGGCCGCAGCTTATTCCATGCAGAGGTTAAGGTCCTTGTTAAAACATCTAGTCAGGCCTGCTCGATAATTCCTAGGTATATTACTATGTTAAATTGGTCCTTCCAGAACTCTCGAAGGGTAAGGTTTGTGTTCTCCATCACTTCAAAGCAGGGCCGAAAAATGTGCTTGGTATACAACTTCTTAAAATTAGAAATCACTTGCTGATCCATGGGCTGCTAGATAGGAGTGATGTTGGCTGGTAGGTAGAGAATCTTTATAAACTTGGACTATTCTTCTTCTTCATGTACCATGTCCTTTCAGAACGTTGGTTACCATCATAGCTATTTTAATTTTATTCACTGCCACCCTAAATAGCATGCTTGTATCTACACCATACCAATCTCGCAAGTTCTTCAACCATGAGGTTCTTCTTCGTCCTGGACTGCGTTTGCCTGCTATTTTTCCTTGCATGATATTTTGTAGCAATCTATATTTGGGACCTCTCATTACATGTCCGAAATATTCCAGCTTTCTCTGCTTGATGCTTTTTATGATCTTGGACTATTGAAGTAAATCATCTTCGAGATTTGATGGGTGAGAAGGGGCTTTATCGAGGACAAGAAGGATTTGCATAGGTTGTTTTCCTGTAGATATTTTTCAACAGAAGGAACAAACACCAGGTGTATGCACTCCACAAAGAAACAAATAATTTTCTGGTGGCCCACGCCTTTGGATTTGCCCTTCACACGACTGGCAGTTTTTCTTTTAAAATCTTATGTGACTTAAAGGCTCTGGGATTTTTTGAATGGTACACTAGAAGAGGTTTGATTTTACAGTCGCCACTTGCATTGGCGCAAAGTAGTAGAGTTAATCTATATTTCATAGGTTTGTGACCTGGCATCGTCTTTCTTCTGCCGTTATGTAAGTCCTATTCGACATATTTTTCCAGAAAAGCCCTGTCTCGTCATAGTTGAAGACTTGCTGGGGTATGTATCCTTTGGCTTCTATTAGTTTGGAAAATGTTTTGATGTAAACCTTAGCTGCTTTCACATCCGAACTTACTGCCTCACCATGCCTGACGACGGAGTGAATGCCGGTCCTTTTTCTAAAGTTGTCAAACCTGCCCCGACTGGCTTTAAATAAGTATTCCGATTTATCATTTGTGGAAATATATGGGATCTGCTTCAGGAAATCTTCGTAACTCGCTCGTTCCTTCTCACATATAATGCTTTGTGTTAACATTCCTCCTTGAAGCTGCTTCTCTGTCACCCACACCAATAGTAGTTTCTCCATCTTTTCATGGAGAGAAGTCCGGAGCTTAGAAATTATGGTAACTCCCTTAGCTGGCATTATACCATTTATCACCTCCCTTCGTACAATACATATTATTGATGTGGTACGCCCGTACATCCTCGCCAAGTCAGTTACTCGTACACCATGCTCATGTTTTTCAATGAATATTTGTATATATACAGGGTTAGAGAGCGACATTGGTCGATAACCCCAGAGTTTTGCGTTAATACGACCCAACATCAGCAGCTCACAAGATCGACAAACTTAAATTCATCAAAATATTACAAAAACATCCTGAGTTAGCTCTGGGCAGCATTATTTTTCAGTGAGAAAGCCGAGCCGTCTTTACCCACTGTCGTTGGCGAAGATGATTCTCTGATAGCATAAGAAACAAACAGTTCGCCAAGACAGTAACCAAAAATACCTTCAATTTATCATCGCTTTCACCAACACAAGATGTAGCTCGTTTCCACAGTGTTAGAATGTATCACTAGGAAACACTGCGATCCTGAAGATTTAGTCTAGAAAAAGCATGTAAAAATTTTGATAATAACCAAAATATTCAAAACTCCAGCACCTCCGAACTTCTGGAGTTAATTTTCTGCAAATTTATTTATTTAATTATTTAATTATTTAATTAATTAGAAGACATTTTATCTGTAAGTTAATCTTTTCATTGTTTGTATAGTCGAGTATTAAATGACCATATTTTAATCTTTTGAAATATGTATAAATGATGTATTGAAAAAAAACCAATTTTAAAGTAAGCTATTTAGTTTTCTCTGAAACCGAAATTAGGCTTTTCCAAAATCATGGTAAACACAATTTAAGCTTTTTGATTGGACGGTCGTTTTTAAATGGGAATTTGGTGAGTCGATCATGGGAGAGGAGAAGTTAGTCATATTTTGGTCATCGAAAGGAAACAGTCGTTTGTCTCAAGATAGGGTGTGGTTCGTGAGTTTGGATACCGGCGTAACGAAAAGAAGTGAATAGTTTGAAGAAGGAGATAACAAGTGGATTAAAAGAGGTCCTTGTATCTACCGTGGGCATTTTATAAAGTATATGTGAAAGTATTCTTACGGCAGCAAGTTGACAAAAGGAGGTCCTGGTGTCATAAATAAGTAGCGGAGTTTGGAGAAGTGAATCAGGTGTTTTTTGTGTAGTCTGAAGGAGGTTTGCAGAGACGTAAAGAAGGAGCCGAGGTGCCAAAGAGGGGAGATCACATATTTGAGGAGACTGGACTTTTCTGGGTATGTTCCAACATACAACTCAAGAAGAAAATAAACTGTAAGTGTTTGTACAATTGAATTTTATATCTGTGAAGGATCGTTTCGACATCATGGTCATTATCATTAAAATTTAAGAACTGAGGTTTATTTAGGCTAATCAAAAGTTTAAAGTTTTGTGGTTTCTTTTTTCAAGTAAAGAAAATTTTAAGTAAAATTGGTTTTTCACGTAATATAAATGTATGTAGCTTTATAATCTTATTATCATAATAATTTGATTTATTTTCTTGTATGCTGATTGATAAGATAACGACAGAATTTAATAATTGTTTTATTCGTTCATATAAAATAAAGAAACGTAATCTTTGTAATATAATATATTTGTATTCTTATCCTTTTCTCTCTATCCTGATAAAAGACAACTAGAAAATCTTTTGAATCCATCGAACACAGAAATATAAGGATTATTTTACTTTTGATAACAAATAAGTTATAATTCTTTTTTATTGGCTCAATAAACTAAGTTTGAACTCAAAATAAACAATCATAACAATATATATATATATATATATATATATATATATATATATATATATATATATAATATATATATATATATATATATATATATCCGGTTTTTTAGGCGTTACGCCCGTCCGGTAGGGATCTATGGAGGAGTATCACCGAGCCGCAAGTCCTTATCTCTTGCCGTACTGCTCCACCATAGGCCGATCAGATCCCAGCATATCCTAGTCTAAGCCGCAGATTCATCTAGAATTTTAAACTGCTGCGTTAGACTTTTTGTTTTCTGTACACCGAGCTGGGGCTCGATCCCACATCCACTGAACCATTCGACAGTGAAGCGAATGAGAGGCAGCCGCACAGCCTGCTGAGCTATCTGACCGACATTATATCTATATTACATTATATACATTATAACATTATATATAAATATTAAATTTATTACTAATATAAAAATGGTCATAACTCGTTACATATAAGGAACAGTAATTGTATTGTAATACCAACGAATACTCGTATAGTCGCATAATTCGTTGCTAATACCTATTTTCAACAAAAGGTAATATTCAACTATTTTAAAAAAGTTAAGGTAGAAAACAGCACAATTATGGAGAATTGTTATAATAAGGTTCTGCGTTTATAATTTAATGACTAAAGATTTTGTCGGTAAATAATACTAATGAATATTATTTATTATCGTTTCAGAGGGTCCATTTCAGTCAGACGCTCTTTTAGTACCTGAAAACTGCATGTTTGACCATATTCATAATCAAAGTAATTGTTGGACGTTCGGGCGCTGGAACTCCACAGCTGGAAACGCCTGCCAAGAGAAAGGACTGCAGTTAAGATCGTTCGCCATGCTCCTACCATGTGGTATCTCGTTATTCAGTGGTGTTGAGTTTGTCTGCTGCCCAAAGCATTTTAAAGGTGTGTACAACATATATAAAAGTCTTTTTAAAAATAAATTTATTTTATAACTAAAGAATGTGATGAAATAGTAAACGAACGGCTAAAAAAAATTATTCTACAGATTAGAAAAAAACATAAAATCTAGTAGATTTGGTCAATTGAAATAGGATATATACAGAAGTTATACCAAAATTTGTTTATTAAAATAAAGGTAGTATAATCCGACAAGCGAGAGCTGGCGGGTGAACTGCGCGAATAGAAAAGGAATTATTCTAAGAGAGATAGGAAAGGTACTTAATCGCGATTATAGGTATATAGTATAGGTACTTATACGGTTATACACGATGTGAACTCCTAGCCGACTGCAATAGAAAAGAGCAATTCCTTCCACTTTTCAATTTGTTCTACGCGCAACCCGCCAGCTCTCGCTTGTCGGGTTATACTTTTCATATAAATATGTATATTAGAGGATTTGAACAGCTAACGCTGATATACAATCACACAATGTGAATACACATCTGATAAATCTAGGATAAATGAAAAAATAATTAACAAGGCCCTATATGTTTTAAATCAATATTTGGTAAATATAATTTTAATGGCAGGTATGTGTAAGATGCTGAGATAGTAATTATCAAAGAATGAGCTGTATACTGATTTATGTTATACTTTTCGTTAAATACGAGCCCTAACAACTATATGTTGGAATAAGAGGATTTTAACATATTAAAATAAATATTAATAATTTGTAACGTCGCCCTTAGATTGAAAACTGCCTGAGCTCTATTAGGGGTTGTACCAACTAGGCTTTCACAGAATTCAGGAGTGAAACTATCTCATATTTCTTGTAATTTAGCACGTAGTTGCGGCAAAGTAACATTTAGTTGTCAGTAGTTTTCAATTATCAAACAATTAATTACATAGTATTCAATATAAAATATACAATTAAGCCGCAAAAATAATTCCACACATCATAAAAATGTTGTTAATTTCACATTTACAATTAAAAGAATGAAATGAAAGAATTTCGGTAAATTATCATTATATTCACAAAATAACGGCTTGTTCCAACATATAGTTGTTAGGGCTCGTATAGAAACTGTATAGTTACTGTAATGTTATATCACCTGAATATAAGTTATGTAATTTAAAATTGTAATCGTAATTTAGAACTAAATGTAAAATGTAATTCAAAACTAATTTAACAACATTTAAAGGGTTTTTACCCGTATATTTAGTGGCTTCACACATGCATACCTAGTAGTAATACTTATTCTAAACAGCACTGATGATGGAATGGCCTTTATGCAAACGATCTATGATACAGCACGAAAGCCTTCTTTTAAATAAATATACCTTTTTATAAAGGATTTTTGATTACATTTTTTGTGATATATGGTATACAGCCGACTACAGGAAGTCCATTTTCCTTGTGGATCTAAGAAACCTCTACTTGACAGTCATTTATTACTCCCACTCTTAATACCCAATAAAGTTTGGACCAGATGTAAATAAATAACCAACTGAATGCATAAAAGTTGTTTAAAACTAAAGCAATAGGAATCAGAATAGAAATGTGAGTTCTCAGAGTAATTCTAAGGACCATACTTGTCAAAAGAAAAAATTTCGTCTGGCAAACATTTAATGTGAAAAAATACGAGGACGTTAAGTAGGAAAGACGAAAGATTAATGACGCAATCATGTAATAAGAATGAACAAACACAAGCTTATGTCCATAACAGACCATAGATAGTATGGTAAAGGAAATGCGATATGTTTATATTAGCAGCGAATTCACATACAGATTGAACAGTTTAAAAACGGATCATACAATTTAATATATATCTGTTTGAAATGAATTTGAAATAGTGGACCAATATAAAACTTGGACAAAAATAAATCCATACCCTGTGTTAGACATTGTATAAAATATCGTTCAACTAACCGTCTCTAATTAGAACGCACCATAGTCTAGAGCGCAGCTTAAAGTCAATGTTGCCAATCGCCGTGTAATAATCCGATTTGCGGATCTTTTTGAGAGTTATATCTTCTTCGTATCTTAAAATAAATCGGATATTTGCCTATATTTTTCATTGTATTTACCAATCTACTACAACAGACTATTAACAAAAATAAACTTAATGGTTTGTAGTTATTTCAGAAGTTTGTAGTTATTTTAGAAACATCTAGTGGAATGATATTGGCAACACGACTTACAATCTACATCTCTGATAAACGAAAGAGGGGCGTGCCTAAAGGCGGCCACTCACGATACAGCGGCGTTGTTCAACTTCGTTTTTAACTAAACACTTGCTTTGATCATATTATAGAAAATCGAAATGGCTTGATTTAGCGAGAATTTTTTAAGAGAGTTTTTTAAATTATATAAAAAATAAGAATGCTATAGCGAATAAAAGGTAAAACGTATCACGATAGAAACGCCCGAAAACAGGCAATAGACATTCTAGTTTTAAAGTTCCAAGAAGTAAACAAAGATGCGAACGAAGAGTATGTAAGAAAAAAAATTAACAATTTTAGAACATCCTATAAAAGAGAATTAAAATTAGCAGTGCAGTCCAGTAAATCGGGTGCAGGGGCAGACGAGATTTACTTTGCACCAAAATCTTGGATTCTTTGCACCAGAATCTATACACAAAGAATTTATACTCAAAGTAAGAGACGCTAAAATGATTTTTTGATTTGACATGGTCGAGAACCGAACAAATACTGCGGCGCAGTATGGTGTGTGGGGGCGCAACAGATATACCAACAAATTGAACAACGCCTCTGTGCGATTATGTCGAACGACACCGCTGTACCGTGAGTGGCCGGCTTTAGGAAGCGATAGGTGGTTTGACCACCTATGAATGAGTTCTTGAATTAGTTCAGAATCCAGCAGCCCGCTGAAGTATTGGATTTTTATAATATAAATATTTGACAACCTTTTATTGGCCAACCACCTACAGCAGAATTGAGCCGAAATACATAATATTTAGTATGTTCCGAATTTATTTCGTTCAATCTGTATACTTTCAAATGGTATGGTGAAAATTCTATACACCTGTGACAACTAATCTATCCAAAACGCAATATTTCTCACCTGAAACAATTAGCCACCATACACAAATCATTACTAAAGACACGTTAGTAGCAACTGTGTGTAAATCACTAACCGGGAATCGCTACCGATTTACAAATGATTGCGGTCTCTCTATAAATACATCTGCCTATTGAAACACGAATTCGCTGGCTCGGAATACATGATTACTTTGAGTTTTGATTGATTTACGTCATTAGGGTGGATGCGTTTCTCGCTCCAAATACATCGTATCAATCTTAAATGGGTTATTTATTGAGGAACACTAGATTTTATGGCGCGTTAATCCCTGTTTTGGGTATCAAAGGCGTTTATATTTATATAGCTATCGATCCATCGAAATTTATAATATTATACATTTCAAAAATACCAAAATATTAACTGTTAAAAAGTTCCAAACGTGCTGTACATATTGAATTGCCCATTATTTTTAATATAACAATGTCGATTTAATTTTAAAAAAGAAGAAAGCTTGCACATATACCAGAAAAATATAACACCAGTCACAAAAAATAAAAAATTTGACAAATACAATAAAAATTGAGCTATGGAATATAGTAGAAATAGCCATGCTATTGAAAAGAAAATTATTTTCAATAATATCAGATAAAGAAGAAAAGACTGTATCGGAAATAGTGAAAAGTTTCAGAGATGGAAAAAATATATAGAAGAATTATTCTGTGACAACAAAATATTACAGGTAGAAGAAGAGTGCCCAAGTATATTAAAAGGAGAAGTAGTAAAAGTTATTCAAAGAATAAAATAATAATAATACTAATATTGACCATAAACAAATAAAAATCGAATTAACATCAGAGTTCATACGAAGGGTAAAACAGCTACTCCGCTCACATCTTAACAGTAAAAATTTGTTTAAGGCATTAAACACCTACGCATTTTCCGCGCTTAGCTACTCATTTGGCATTATTAAGTGGACTAAAACGGATATAAAAAGTCTTCAGAGAAAAGTACGAACACACCTCACAAAGGCACAAAAACACCATCCTCGAAGTGCAGTAGAAAGAACGACATTACCACGGTATTTGGGAGGACGAGGATTTATTGATATAAGCGAGCAATTAGATAAACAGATTAATAATTTAAGAACTTATTTTCAGGTACAGGCAGAGACATCTACTCTTCATCGCGCGATTTGCGCAGTAGATGACACAACACCGATCAACCTGAGGGAACAAGAAATGCGCATAAACCATCTTACTAAGAACGAAAAAATGCGCATCTGGATGGGTAAATCTCTGCACGGGCGACATCCGAATGAAGTCAGTCAAGACTATGTCGACAATATAGCGTCGAACTATTGGCTGACATCAGGAAAAATGTTCCCTGAAACAGAAGGTTCATTACTGGCCGTTCAGGATCAGGTTATACCAACCAAAAATTACCTGAAATATATTGTCAAAGACTCTCAGGTATAAAACGACAAATGCCGATATGGATGTCAAGCCCAAGAAACGATCCAACATCTTACCGGAGGCTGCCAGGCATTTGCTGCAACTGAATATAAGGAACGGCATGACTCAGTAGGGAAGATCCTTCATCAAGAGATAGCTATTAAACTGGGACTTCTACAAACAAACCATCTCCCATATTATCAATACGTTCCAGAAAGTATGCTTGAGAATGACAACTACAAGCTATACTGGGATCGCACTGTGCTCACAGACCAAACTGTAGCACATAATAGACCAGATCTCGTGCTAGTTAATAAACTAACAAGACAAACAACTCTAATCGATGTGACGATACCTAACAACAATAATCTGCGTGTTAAGTACAACGAAAAGATCGCCAAGTACAGAGATCTGGAAATACAAATAAGAAGACAATGGACAATGGAAAGTACCCAGACGATACCTATTATTCTTTCTACCACTGGAGTCATTCCGAAGAACCTCCTAGA